TTCAAGAAACTAAATTTATGGATTGTTAAACAGGTGAAAATTTCAAATATTTTTATTAACAGGAATAGTTTCAAAGAAAATTTTATGATTTAGTTTATTAAAAGTTGATTTCTAGTATGGAAACTGTTAAATTTTTTATATTTAGACTTTGAATGTATCTACTTCTATAAATGAATCTAAATTACCGTTATCATCTACGAGAGAACAAAAAACGTCATCAATTATATCATCTACTGAATATGATCAGAATATTATCGATGATGTGCGTCTACTATTGTCAGATCTCATTATCCAAGTTGATCAAAAATCAAAATTAACTAATGTACCATCTTCTATGTTAGTTCATTTGTAATATTTGAATATTTGTTATGATTCTATTTCTATAGATCAAAATTTGCACAGTCAACAATACCTCCGCCGCCACCACCACCACCATTCTTTACGATTGCAACATCATCTCCACCGTCATCGTCTTCATCATCTATTCCACCACCACCACCTCCTCCACCATTTCCTGGTTTTGCTATTCCTCCACCACCACCTCTACCGTTTTGTACAAGTTCAACTGGTCCGCCACCACCTCCACCGCCTCCTCCATTTCTTAATTGTGGTGCTCCACCGCCGCCACCACCACCTTTTCCAGGGTTTGCTGGTCCACCACCGCCACCACCACCTCCACCTTTTCCAGGATTCTCTGGTCCGCCACCACCACCACCTTTTCCAGGATTCTCTGGCCCGCCACCACCACCACCTTTTCCAGGATTTGCTGGTCCACCACCGCCGCCACCACCTCCACCTTTTCCAGGATTCTCTGGTGCGGCGCCACCACCACCTCCACCATTTCCTGGTTTTGGCGGACCTCCACCACCACCTCCAATGATGCCGGGATTTGGTGGTAAGTTAAAAAATTTTTTCCACTATGTCAAAATTTAGTTCATTATTTAGCTCCACCTCAATTTCCACAATATTTACGTAAGAAACAAAAGTATGCTGTTACTGAACCAGTTAAAAAAGTTCAATGGAGTAAAGTTAGTTAAATATTGATTCTTTTCCACGAATTTTTGAATTATACAATCATTTTAGATTAATCCACATGCAATCAAAAGAGACTCTATATGGGTTGAAGTCGATGAAGAAAAATATATCAGTGATGAGCTATTTTCTGATATACGAAAGAATTTTGCTAATAAAATAGCACCAAGTAAAATATAATACTTAGATATAATTTTATAGGATTGTACGAAAAAAAATTATTTTTGTTTTAGGTAGACAACCTATTCATGATCTTGTTGATAAATCAAAAGAATTACGTGTACTGGATTCTAAAGCTGCACAAAATTTCGGTACGTAATAATTCTTGTATTTTAGAAAAACAATGTTTATTATTGAATTGAATTTTTAGCAATAATGTTTAGTCAATTAAAAGCACCACCAACGACATTTCGTGAATGGATGCTTTCATGTGATAATGAATCTTTAAAAGATGATTTTCTCAAACAATTAGAAAAATATTTACCAACACCTGAAGAATTGAAAGCATTATCTGAATTAAAAGAAGAAATAAATGATTTACAATATTCAGAACAATATTTTTGTGCAATCGGTGATATAAAACGATTAAAACAACGTTTGAAAACTCTTTTATTCAAAGCGAATTATAAAGAAACATTTGAAGAAACAGATAAAGTATGTTTATATTATTTTGAAATATATTTTTTTTAATATAAAAATTTTCTATATTAGGCATTCGTAGAAGTTCGTACTGCTTGTGATCATGTTCGACATTCGTTACGATTCAAAAAAATGCTTGAATTAATTTTAACAATAGGAAATTATATGAATTCAAGTGCAAAATCATATGAACCTGTACATGGATTTGATATTAGTTTTCTACCTAAAGTATTTTTGAAAGAAATATTCGTTTATTTTTTGATTTATATTTATTTGAGTAGCTTCATTCAACAAAAGCAAATGATGGTCGTCGTTCATTACTTCATTTTATTGTTCAAGCTATTGAAGATAAACATCGTGATTTATTATCATTTTCCGATGAATTCTTTTCTCTTGCTGATGGTATATCGAAAAGTAAGATGAATTTAATTTGATTTAAGATAAAGAATAATCGATTGTTTATTTTATAGTTAATATACTTGAATTACAAAAACAACCAAAAGATATCGGTCGAGAATTGAAATGTGCTCGAGAAGAATTAGAGATTGCAAAACATGTAGATGAACGAGTGGAGGGAGATAAATTTGCTGAATCAATTGAGGTAAGAATTTAAAATATATATTGGATTATAACTTCATCTATTCTATTGAAAGGATTTTATAATTCGAGCTCACGATGATGTTACTCGACTAGAACAGTTAGATGGAGAAATGACTCAAGCTTATCAAGATTTATGTGATTTTTTGGCGATTGATCCTAAAATCTATTCTCTTAATGAATTTTTTACTGATCTCAAATCATTTTGTTCATTCTTTTCGGTAATATATTTAATTTTTAAATTAATTTTTTTATTAGCGTTTTGTTTTCTAGACATGTGTCCAGGAAGTACGAGCTTGGCGTGAACAAGCAGCAAGAGCTATTAAAAATTCGTAAGTATTTTTCTTATTGAAAACGAAAAGGAAAAAGAGAATCGTATCCCAATAAAATATGAAAATAAAAGACCTACTCACTTTAGTCAAACCCTAATGTCTACTTCACAATGTTTTACTCGAACACCTTCACGTCGTTTTCCTATACGATATGATTCGACTGAAGATTTTATATTGGCGGCTGCCGAAAGTGGTTCGTCATCTTCACGTGGTTCTTCTCCAAATATAGCATATCGTCGTCAGGTAGCTGAATCTTTATAACAAAGCTAATATAAATCGACATTGGGACTATAGGATGCATGTTTGCTTTATCAAACTTTACTACTAATTTTTTTGTTTTGTATTGGAATTTTTTTAATAATAACTCTTTTGTTTATTTAGAAACATCCAATTGTCAGTCGAGAAAAGGACTCACGATATTCCAGATAATTCAACAGTAGTACATCGTCGTCCATTATCACGTATTGAAGATTTAATAGATAAACGTAAAACAAATCGTGGATTAACACCAACAGCTACACCAAC